AAAAATTCATTCTATCTATATAAAATTTTATTTGATTTATCCATACTACATATATATATATATTTTTTTTTTTTTTTGTTATTTTTATTAATACATAATATAAAAATATGTATAAGACTCGAACTTATATTAACGTGTCCGTAGCACGCTATTCTACCATTGAATTAACATATTTATAAAATTTTACTTATAAAAATTTTATGTATTACTAAAAGACTATATTAATTACTATCAACAAATAAATATTTTTTTTTTATTTGTTTTTTAGGTATTAATTTTCTTAATCTTTTTGCTTTATCTAATATACTTTCATTGTGTATATCTTTTGGTCTGATATTTGGACCTATTTTTCTATTTGAATTAATATTTTTATAAGTATTTAACTTATCTTGTATTAAATTTTTTCTATGTTTATCTAAATTTTGTTTATAGTATTCACTATATGCAAATTTATCTTTAGTTTCATACCCTAATTTAATATGTAATTTATGAAATTTTATATTATTTATTACAGTAAGTACATCATATGTTTTACATGTTGAACCATCAGGGTATGATATTTTACAGAAATAATTAGATGGGTCTGAAGATGTATAATTATAAGAATAACGTATACCGTCTTCATAATAAGAACGCATTTTATTTATAACGAAAGGTTTATTTAAATGTAAACTTTCAGGATAAATACAAACGTTAGTTTCTGGATCATAGTGATAAAATGTAGTTTCATTGTTTACATTATTAGTAAATTTAGGTTTATTTCTTTTATTTCTAGGTTTAGATGATTCAATCTCATGATTATTTCTATTAAGATTAGGAGTAAGATTTGGATTAGGATCACCTTCATATGGTATGTCTAAAATAACTCTTCTATCATCCATTTGACTATTTGGCTGTGAACTAAATACATGTTGATTTTTTGATTGTTGTTGCCGGTTTCTATTATTTTCAATTTCATAAATAGCTTCATTACCTGAAAATGGATTAGGATTAGATGGTCCACTATTATTAGTATTGGAAGAACCAATACCAAAAGGATTATTATTATCAGAACTTGAATTAATATAAACAAAGTCATGTGTTAAATTATTAGATAATAAATATAATAAATCTAACCCCAAATCAGGATTTCTAGTAAAAAAAAAACATAAATAAAATATAATTTTACATATAATTTTTATACGTTCTAATCCAATTTGTACATCATCACTTAAATATCAACATAAACTTATGAAATAATATTCTAACAACTTAGATAAATTCCTATAACAATATTTAATTGTTTTTATAGACTTATATATCTTTTTCATCATATTTTCCAACGTAATATCCTTTATATTTTTAATAAACTTTTTGTTAATCTTAATATTGATCTTTTTCAGATTAATTAATTTAACCTTCCATTTGTTCTCTCAATCATAAAAGAAAGTCTCTTATAGATACTGATTGTATAGCAATAGGCATAGAACTGTGTAAAATACCACATATTTCTGAACATTGTCCAAAGAAAGTTCCAGGACGATTTATGTAAACAGAAGCTTGATTTAATCTACCAGGGTAAGCATCTGCTTTAATACCTAAAGAAGGGCAAGCATAAGAATGTATAACATCAGCTGCTGATATTACAATTCTAGTATGAGTTAATTCAGGTATAATTACTCTATTATCTACTTCTAACATTCTAAATTGACCTTGTTCTAAATCACTTTCAGGTACTATATATGAATCAAATTCTATAAATTCATCATCTTCATTTGTAAAATCTGGGTATTGGTAACTTCAATATCATTGATGACCTTCTGCATATACAACTAATGATGGATCCATTATTTCATCCATTAAATATAATAATTTAAATGAAGGAAATGCTATTAATATTAATATAAATGCAGGTGATATTGTTCAAATTAATTCTATTAAAGTACCGTGATTCATATATTTATGAGCTATTGGTGATTTATTAGCTAAAAAATTTCTTATTATTGTAATCATCATTCATGTTACAGTAAACATTATAATAGCTAAGTAAAACATAATATTATTATGTAATTCTTCAATACCTTCCATTTGAGGTGAAGCAGAATCTTGGAAAAATAAACCCCATGGTTGTGGAGCATCTAATTGTAATTTGTTTATATAATTTTGTAAAAACATATTTTTTTTTTATTTATTTTTTTTTTATATTAAACTATCTTTCTTATTTATGTATACTATATGTACTCTTATATATACATATAAATCTTTGTTATATTTATCTTATTATCTTCTTGGTCCCCGCCCCTCTGGAGGCGAAAAAAAAAAATATATTTCTATATTTTTTTTTCCCCTCTATATAGAGTAAGTTCTTTATTTATATATTAAGCTATAACCGTTCCAAGATTTAATGTTAAAATTGAATACTTGTCTACTCTCTATCTTTAATGCATTTTTACCTAGTTCAAATACGAAACCTAGAGTTAAAATAACAAAAAAGACTAACATAATTAATAAACCATATATACCATTAGTGTAAGCACTAACAACATAAGGGTATACCAATAAAATTTCTAAATCAAATAATAAAAACAATAAAGCAAATATAAAAAAAGAGATGCTAAATTGTGTTCTATTTTGACCTAAGAATGAATGAAATCCGCATTCAAATGCACTATCTTTTTCTTGATATGGATTATGGGGTGAAAGTATTAAATTAACTAATAATAATATAATACCTAATACAGGAATTAAAAATAAAAAAAAAGTTGTTGTTGTCATATTTAAAGATTTAAATTATATATACATGTTTTATATTTAGATTTACTTACTAAAGTTTAAATTAAAATTAATCATAAAACTTAATAACTTTCTAAATTAAAGATATATATATAAGATTTACATTAAATTTTAAATACTTCAATATTTTTTTTTATTTTTAATTACGCCACATATAATAATAAAAAAGCCATCATTAGAGCAAATAATCCTGTTGCTTCCGCAAATGCAAAACCTAAAATAGCATATGAAAATAATTGACCTCTTAAAGAAGGATTTCTAGCAACACCTAAGATTAATGCTCCGAAAACTATACCTATTCCTACACCTGCTCCTATTAATCCTGTAGTAGCCATACCTGTACCTATAATTTTTGCTGCCTGTAACATAGTTTATTGTTAAAATATATATGCTTATAGCTATATACAGTTAAACAATAAATTTAATATAAATCTTTATAATTTTCTTAGTTAATTGCACTAAAAATATGTAATAAAATATTTGCTGCATCGAATATAGCAACACTATCTGCATTAACATCTGTACCTAATGAACCATAATCTATGTGTAATCTATGTAATAGAGTTTCAGATTCAAGTACTACATCGTACTGTCTTACCAAAGCAGTTAACTGATCCAATAATCCAGTTAAATGTTGATATAATAAACGATATTCTATTTCATCATCACCACGGAATGAGATTAAATAATTTCCGTGCTCATGATTATCTTCTCTATAAAGATGTGAATAAGTTACCTCGTGTATTGCACGACCGCTATCCAAAGGCTCTAAACCTTGACCTGTTTGAGGGTAACCATCTGAACTAACACCTGGAGATAACACATCGTCGTCAGATGCTGCAGGGTGGTGTACCGTTAACTCAGGGTTATCTGCTAACACAGGATCTATATATACAGCTACATTATCCTCAACTTGTACTCTAGCAGGTTCAACTGCTTCTCCTGCTTCTTGAGCAGGTTCAACTGCTTCTCCTGCTTCTTGAGCATTTTGAATTGCTAATCTATGGAAAAAATCACTTAATACTGATGAATCGTACGATGATTCTGTAGGTACAGATGATGATTCTTCACCTAAATCTAATGAATCTGCATGAGATTGTTCATCTGAATCTGCATGAGATTGTTCACCTGAATCTGCATGAGATGATGAACCGTCCTGGCTAACAGGTGGTAATTGTGGTTCAATTAATCCAGTGTTATTTCCCCTACCTAGGTCAGGAAAATTATTTCCATTTTCAGAATCACTATCAAAAGTACTATCATAATCAACATTTCTTGCGAATGGAGTAGGTATTTTTTCACGTATACGTACTATATAATTATTAGTATACATTCTAATAAATTCACGACCTTGCTCTAAATTATCAATCAAATGATATGCATTTTGTTTAGCTTGGATATATGTATTTTGCACGTGATTTACTCATGGTTGATCATTTCCAGCTACAGCCACACTTTCTTGTTGATATTGTAGAGGTATTCTAGGTTGTTCTGGTATTGATCTAGATATACCGCTTAATCAATTTTCAGTACTATCTCCATTAGATGTTGGTATATTATTTAGGGATTGCTCTGTTAGATTATTATTTGTAATATTATTATCAGCTATATTATTTTCCGATTGATGTGTAAGATTATTATTAGACTCTTCAGTATTATTAGATTTTAATACTTTTTTAGATTTATGCTCTATAGAGTCTGTTGAAGATACATCACTTAAAGCTCTTTTTTTTCCTTTAGCGATACTTGTGTTATTATTAGCAATTGAATTTATAACGTCTTGGTTTAAATTTAAATCACTAATTGAGTTAGATTCAGACTGAGACATATTATTTTGACTATTTGGAGATCTCGGTATAACTTTGTTAGATATTGAAGAATTACTCATGATTCGGATTTTTTTGATATAATTAAGTAAGTTAATACACACCCAAAAAGTGTATTAGTAATATAAACTACTTTAGTAGCTGTAAATTTTAATTAATATTTTAGCCTATTAATTACTAAAAATGCTTGACGCGCGTTATTGGGTGTAAATATATGTTTTTTTGGTTTTATAAATAAGAAATATTTTCATACATATTATTGTGACTATATAAGATTACAAGTTAAAGCCTCAGCCTCATTAAAAAAAAAATACATATTCATATGAATATATATAAAATTCATATTCATATTACATATGAATATGAATTTAGCCACTATATTGATATAGTGACTCCATTCACTAAATAGGCTTTGCTATTTAGTGATCCCCATTCACTCTAGAAGCAAAGCCATAGGCTTTGCTATTTAGTGATCCCCATTCCCTCTAGAAGCAAAGCCATAGGCTTTGCTTATATAGAGCCTTTAAAATGAATCGAACATTTATCAGAATATTAACAGTATTCCGCTCTACCATTGAGCTATAAAGGCTAAAAAGTATAGAAGTAACTATATTATTATAAAGGCTAAAAATTATAATATAGTAACCCTATCTTTTTAGTAGATATTGCTATTAGGACCTAGCTTCCTAGTTATTAGCTGAAAAAAAAAGAGTATGTATAGGCCTTTATGTGTTAGTTCTAGTCGTAGAGTAATATAATTTTCTATATACACTTAAATCATTATATTTTATACTTATAAATTCATAAGTTAAATCCTACGCTTCTACACTTTTAATATACATTACTCTAAATATTATAGTGTATACTCTATATGCAATATGAGTTATTGCAGGTAACATACGTCTATGCTAGGTTATAATTTTTTTTTTTCATATATCTACATGTATAGGCTATCATTCAAACCAACTTAAGATATATTAGACAGTTAAGTAATATTTACTATGTTGATAAGTCAACGTAGTTGGTTACATTTGTATATGTAATTTTATTAATGAAATGTAATAACCTATACTTTAATGTTTAGTATTTTATGTCATAAATTTATTTTTAATCTATGTTCATCAAACTCTTTATTTTTTATTTTATGATATGCGTAAGATATATCTATATGCATGTGTTCAGAAAGAGGCATCATCAAACTCTTAATTTAAAAATAGGTGTTTATGATGCATATCTGCTATATTGCGGTATATTTTTATACCAATATTTTTTTTCGCTTTTTGTGACAAATTAAGATTTAATTAAGCCAGTTTATGCGTTACATATTAATAATTATAAATAAAAAAATATAATCTATATATATGTTCGCAAAAGATATATAATATCTTTAGATGTGATAGTAAAAAATATATAATATATTTATGGATAATATCACCTTTATAATGTTGAATATTAAATAAACTTTAATTAAACAACTAACTAACCTATAAATTTAGGATTGTAAAGGTAAACTAGAGAAAGCGTGTGGCTTAGGAGGACTAGTTAAACATCACTCTAATGAATTATTATTTCTAGTGAAGTAAACTTGGAATGTATCACTGAATAACTGAGGAGTCATTCAAGGATATCTTGATACAGCTTTACCTTGTGTAAGTTGTTTATAAATAATAGTTAAGAAGTATCATGTAGCAACTACACTAATGATAGATCCAATACTACTAATTAAATTTCAACCATAGAAAGCATCAGGATAATCACTAATTCTTCTAGGCATACCTTGTAACCCTAAGAAATGTTGAGGGAAGAAAGTAACATTAACACCTATAAATAAAACTCAGAAATGAACTTTAGCAGCAAAATGATCATAAGATAAACCTAAAATTTTAGGGATTCAGAAGTATCAACCACTAAATAAAGCAAAAACAGCTCCCATAGATAAAACATAATGGAAGTGAGCAACAACATAGTAAGTATCGTGAAATGCTACATCAAGTGAAGCATTAGCTAATACAACACCACTTAAACCTCCAATAGTGAATAACACAACAAAACCTAAAGCAAATAACATAGGTGGAGTTAAATGTAAAGAACCACCGTAACATGTAGCTAATCAACTAAAAATTTTAATACCTGTAGGTACAGCAATAATTAAAGTAGCAGCAGTAAAGTAAGCTCTAGTATCAACATCTAAACCAACAGTATACATGTGATGACTTCAAACTAAAAAACCTAAAACACCAATAGACATCATAGCATAAACCATACCTAAGTAACCAAAAACGTTTTTACTAGATGCAGCAGAAATTACTGTACTAATAATACCAAATCCTGGTATAATCATAATATAAACTTCAGGGTGTCCAAAAAATCAAAATAAATGTTGGAATAAAATAGGATCACCACCACCAGCTACTTCAAAGAATGAAGTGTTAAAGTTTCTATCAGTTAATATCATAGTAATACCTCCAGCTAATACAGGTAAAGATAATAATAATAATACAGCTGTAATAATAGTAGCTCATCCAAATAAAGCTAATTTATGTAAACGTATACCTGGACTTCTCATATTTAAAATAGTTGTAATGAAATTCATAGAACCTAACATACTACTTATACCACTTAAGTGTAAACCAAAAATAGCTAAATCAACACTAGGTCCACTATGAGATTGTATACCAGATAAAGGTGGATATAAAGTTCAACCTGTACCGGCTCCATTTTCTATAGTAGCTGAGAATATAAATAAAAATAAACTAGGTACTAATAATCAAAAACTAATATTATTTAATCTTGGAAATGCCATATCAGGACCACCCACTAATAACGGTAATAAAAAATTACCAAATCCTCCAATTAATGCAGGCATAACCATAAAGAAAATCATTAAAATAGCATGAGCTGTAATTATACTATTATATACTTGATTATCAGATATATATTGAACACCAGGTGCTGCTAATTCTAATCTAATTAAAACAGAAAATGCTGTACCTATTAAACCAGAAAATAAAGCAAACATTAAATATAATGTACCAATATCTTTAGCATTAGAAGATAAAAATCATCTTTCTTGTCATTCTGATGGATTTTTGAAATTAAACACAGATTGTTTAATTTCGGTTAAATCGTAATTAGACTCTTTTGTTGTTGTTGTTA